TGCTGCGAGGGAACTGAAGTTGCGTATAAACCTCCGGTAAAAGTTCGAGAAACCCAGGAAGCTTTGCAGCTGCTTCAGGGTCGTGGGTAGAGGCCACTGAGCTACGGCCTGAACCTTCTGGGGGTCCATCTTCAGGCCCTGGGAGGAGATGGTAAAACCCAGGAAGGAGGTGGACTCCTGGTGAAACGCACACTTCTCCAGTTTGCAGTACAGTCCATGATCCAGGAGGCGGGACAGAACAGCTCGAACATGACGGATGTTCTCTTCGGCCGTGCGGGAGTAGATGAGGATGTCATCTAGATACACAAAGACCCAGCGACCCAACATGTCTCTCAGCACATCTGTAATGAACCGCTGGAAGACGGCGGGGCTGTTGCAGAGTCCAAAAGGCATCACCAGATATTCATAGTGGCCAGTGGGCGTGATAAAAGCGGTCTTCCACTCCTCACCTTCCTTAATACGGATGAGGTTATAGGCGCTGCGCAGATCCAGTTTAGTGAACACTGCGGCTTGTGTGATGGCGTCCAGAGCGGTGCCCATGAGAGGGAGAGGGTGGCGGTCCCGGATCGTTATTTTATTTAACCCTCGATAGTCTATGCAGGGCCGGAGATCCCCCTCCTTCTTCTTAACAAAGAAAAACCCCGCGGCCCCGGGGGACGTTGAGGGACGGATGAATCCCTTCTGCAGGGCATCAGTTATGTAATTGTCCATAGCCCGGGTTTCCGCCGGAGAGAGGGAGAACAGGCGACCCCGAGGGGGGGTGGTGCCGGGCTGGAGCCTGATCTCCAGGTCGTAGGGTCGGTGAGGAGGTAACCTGGTAGTGGGTTCTTTAGCGAAGACCTGAGCGAGGTCGTGGTATTGAGGAGGGATGAGCGTCAGGTCTACGTCTGTGGGAGGAGCTGCTGCTGCCCGAGGTGCAGGGGAGTCCCGGTGGTTATGGCAACCCGTGCCCCAGGCCAGGACTTTACTGGTGGACCAGGAGATGTGAGGCTCATGGCGGCAGAACCAGGAATGACCCAGGATGAGAGGCGTAGCCGGAGCCTGGATGACCAGGAAGTGGAGGGTCTCCCGGTGTTGGTCAATAGTCATGTGGAGACCCTGAGTTCGGTGGGTGAGAGGGTACGGCATGATGGGCCGGCCGTCCACAGAGGTCACGGGAATGGGTCGGTCGAGGGCGGTGAGGGGTATCTTGAGCCGAGTAACCAGTCCGTGGTCGATAAAACACTCCGCAGCCCCAGTGTCTAAAAGTGCCTCCAGTCTGGTCGGGCCTTGGTCCAGGTGGAGGGAGACCGGGAGAGTGGTTCGGTGTGGAGCCGGAAAAGTGGAGACTCCGGGCGGGACAGCTCCTACTCCGACCCGGAGGGACCTTTTCCCGGTCGTTTTGGGCACGTGCCACGGTGGTGACCCAAATCCCCACAGTAAGCGCATCTTCCCTCCTGGTAGCGCCGTGCCCGTTCCTCAGGGGGAAGATGTCCCAGCTGCATCGGCTCCTCCGTCGGTTGGTGAGCCGGCCGGCGGGGTGACGTCCTGGTGTGTACGGGGGCTGACATGGTGCTCGGCCGGTTCAGGATGCAGCGGTCCAGTTGGAGAGCCAGATCCACTGCCAGGTCCAGGGAGGTTGGGACCTCGTGCCCGATCATGCCCTCCCGGATTCTCGGTGACAGTCCCTCCAGGTAAACGGCCTTTAGGGCGGCGTCATCCCACCTCAACCGAGCTGCTGTCGTCCGGAAGCGAGAGGTGTACTGAGCCGCCGTCTGGGAGCCCTGGCGAAGCTGAAGCAGCCGCGTCTCGTCCGAGACCTCGCTGCTGGGGTGCACAAAAGTCTTTTTCATCTCCTTTACAAAAGTCTCATAGTCATTGCAGGCAGGAGATTTTTGATTGTAAAGAGCCGCCGCCCATTCACCGGCTCGACCTGTCAGCAGTGAGGTCAGCAGAGCGACACGAGAGCAGGATGTGGGGTAGCGTGCCGGCTGGCACTCGAAAGTCATGGCCAGGGTCGCCAACATGCCCTCCGGGGATCCCCTGGTTCCGTCCCACTTCTCTGGAAGGCTGAGGCGTGGTTCCATCCTGTCAGGAACAGCTGCGGTCTGACGTTGCAGAGCGGTGGTCAGCTGGAGTACTAGCTCGGTGAGTGACTCAATCTTTGTGGCTTGGCGATCAGCTATGGCACGGAGCTGGTTCATGTCTGCCGTCTGCTGATCCAAGATTGCGCGCTGTTGAGCCACTTCGGCACGCAAACGCGCGAACTCCGCTGGGTCAACTTGGGGCTCAGTCATCCTGTCAGGTTCGTTGGCAGATCTGAAGCGTGACTGAGAGTTCTGTTGCCCAGACGCGGAGAGACGGAGATAGCCGGCGTGGTTATCTCCTGTAGGTGTAGTATGAGTGTTTTGAGGGCTGGTAAGCCTGGAGACTCGATACAAAGTCTGGTGAGAAACGATGACTGAGCAATGAATGAAACGCCGGCACTTCCTTAAGTAGTGCCGGCGTGATGACGTCAGTCGCCACGTTGGTGGCAGGAATGAATGGAATGCAGTCAGCTGGAGGAGTTCGTGACACCGTCTGACTGTGGCTGCATTAGCTGGCTTCTTTTCATTGTCTGCGGTGAGCCTCAAAAACTCACCATGCTCCGCCAAGTGTTTAGTCTTTAAATGTCGGATCAAATTCGTTGTGTTGAATTTTTTTGAAGTGCCTCCTCCGCGGGGTATGTTTTCGTTGCAAGTATTGCAAGACGCAAACTTAATATCACTCTCGCACACCATAAAGAAGTTCCACACGGCAGACATGTTTGTCTTTGCGGGCTTGCCGCCCGCCACGAGCATGCACACTAAGCGGGGAGAAGCGGAAGGGTGAACTACCGGCCGGGAAGAGTAAGCGCCAGTGCCAGATCGGAAATGAAAGGCAGTGATCGGCGATCACAGATCACAAACTTTTGCAGGAAAATCGGCCGATAATTATCTGTGGCCGATCAATCGGAGCACCCCTAATCAGTACACTACAGACAATAATGAACTTCATCACAATATGCTAATTTTTTGAGAAGGACCTGTACAGCTGTGGTGGTGTGCGCAAAGATGTGTGCAGAGAAGGACAGGAGTGACACAGCAGACATGGTTGATGCGTTAGGCATGGTAGAAGCATGTGAGAAAAGAAAACTGCAGCAAATGACATCAGAGACTCTTCATTTGTTCATAGGAATCAGACGATGAGCTAGAGATAGATGTCTCAAATGTTCCACAGGCACTTTCATTTAATTATATATTTATAATTAATGTAAAATCATTTAAATCCTACCTTAGGTGGCTCATATCATCCACAATATTAACAGTAATTATTTCTTGTCCAGAGGAAAAAAAATCTATCATGTTTTGCTAAATTCATGATGATGCATCCTGGTCAGGATTACACTCCCGCTAATTGTGCATCACAACTCTCTGTAGCTGTTTCCTGAAATCGCTGGGGAAGGGTCTGGCTTACAAAAAGCTCCGGTCGGCAGCCACGGTGACAAAGCTTGCTAAAACACACAAATGTCCCTAAATAACAAAACCCACAATGCTAAATGCAAAGTTTAGAGCTGAATATTGACCCAGAAGTTCCCTGATTGGGCAAACGCGTGGCTAATGCTAGTGGCTAGCCACTATAATTGAGTATAGTGTGCTTTTTCAAAGATTCATAATCATTTATGTCCGCATCGGTTATTAGATTATTTTCTACCAAGCACCCCAGCTAAACAAACCAACCAACTGCCTTAAACTTGCTTTGATTGGTTCATTGGAGTGACTGTGGTCCCGCCAGAAGCAAACTAGCAAACACTTGGCTGAGAAAAAACTAACTGTGCCCGTAGACGTGTCCAGAAATAACAGCACAAATGCAAATGGACAGTTCTATGATCTCCAAGCTTTGGTAGATCGTCATCACTTCATAATCCTTAACAATCCGATATCGTCAGATCGGACGGCCTTAACTAAAGTAGCTGTCAGTACTACAGTGTCTCCTTCTCCCCCGCAGCCGTACAGGCAACACCACTATGACACGTTGCATTGTTGATGCATTTGGGCTACTATAGATACTAAGGTTGGACATCATTTGAATTTAAACGATTTCGGTTTTGATTCAAATTCCTCATTTTGATTACGATTCCCATTGATGTCTAATTCTGATTCTTTCTAGAGGCAGGATCCAAAAACTTTAGATGTTTTAAATGAGCTAGCCAACCATAGGTCTTACTTGATGAAATAACCTGAACTGAATTTTAATTCTAACATCACTTTAATTTAGAAAAACACTTGTTTTAAAGAAAGGAAAAAAATACTTGCAGCACAGTCAGTGTGTTTGTTTCAGACCACAACCAAAGTCTGGGAACTGAAAATGCCTCTAGGATGAGAAGCAAAATGTTTTCAACATAACCAGAAAAGTCCAGCTGTTTTCAGCTAAAACTCTCAGGTGGATCACGTCTAGGATGACTGAGAATCTACACCAACATGCTACAGCAACAATTAAGTCAAAAGACAAACTCAAACTTAAAAACTCACCTCACCCCACCCGGAGTTTGTTCTTTTCAAACTGGTACTACACTCACTGGCAACTTTATTGGGTACACCTTTCTAGTACCGGGTTGGATCCCCTTTTACCTTCAGAACTGCCTTAATACTTCGTGGCGTAGACTCAACAAGAGATTTTGTTCCATATTGACATGATTACATCATGCAGTTGTTGCAGATTTTACATCTTCACATCCATGAAGTGAATCTCCCGTTCTACCGCATCCCAAAGGTGCTCTATTGGACTGAGATCTGGTGACTGTGGAGGCCATTTGAGTACAGTGAACTCATTGTCATGTTCAAGAAACCAGTCTGAGATGATTTGAGCTTTATGATATGACACATTATTCTGCTGGAAGTAGCCATCAGAAGATGGGTGCTACATGGTCGGCAACAATACTCAGGTAGGCTGTGGCATTACAACGATGACCAATTAGTACTAAAGGTAGTTTTCCAGGAGCACTACTCAGAGTAACTTGGAGTGGGGCAGATTGGCCCGACCACAGTTTCCAAGGGCACGGTTTGGTATTTTCCCTCTACTTTCTCCCCAGTTTTTTGTCCCTGCTCTGTTGAGGTACCTGGTAAAGCTGAGTTGGACTGGCATCTAGGGCTGCAACAAACGATTATTTGGATAATCGATTAATCGAATGGGGTCTCGACACGATTAATCGATTAATCGGATTACATGCGGAAATTTTAAAAAACTGCTAGGGAAACGTTATTTCTCTCCTTCCTTCACTTTATTAAACACATAACATTATTAGAAAACAGTTCAATAACAGAAAAACAACATGCTATCACCTAAATTGTCTTACAGCTTCAAATAAGTTGCATTGCAATGCAAAAATGTTAGCATATCAACATGCTCCTGACTCAGACTGGCTCGCTTCTTTGAGGCTATATTGCCAGCAGCAGAAAACAGACGCTCAGATGGAGTTGAGGTCCCTGGGATGGACAAGTAGGACCTTGCTAGCCTGGCCAACATGGGATATATGTCTTGGTTCTCTTTCCACCACTTCAATGGACTTTCTTCTTTTGCAAGGTTCTTTTCTCCAAAGTAACTGTTGACCTCATTCCTCACTCGAACATTCTCATCAGCACTAGTTTCCACTTGCCCTGGACTGTCTTCATCACCATCAGAGTCAAGGAGTGAGTCAAGAAGAGTTCCTGGTGTTGATTTAGAAGCTGCATCACTGGTAGATGTGGTCCTGCTACTGCTTCGCTGCTGCATATCCACCTCCCTTCTCTCTTTAAATGCCATTGCTTGGATTTTGCCCTGGACATCAAAGATTTCCTGTGGTGACAGAAACTTCAGTCTCCTGAACCTTGGGTCAAGGGCTGCTGCAAGAACTACTGTGTTTGGTGCAGTGTCTGAAAAAGATGTTTCAAACTTCCATCGCTCTTGCAGCTGCTCCACAGTCGTAAGCTTGAAAGCCTGCAGTGCAGCTGACTGAAAATCTGCACTCAGAGTGGACCTCAACAGCCCCTTCACCAGTGGAGGTATAGCAGATATAGTGGTGTATGTCTGCCCGCTCATAAAGACAGTGGCACATTCAAAAGGCTTAAGAGCCTCCGAAAGCTCCTCAAGCAAGCTCCACTGGTCTGGTTTCAGGTCCAGATACTTTTTGTCCTTGTGTGTGACCGAGCTGTCAGACAGTGTTGCTGTCACGGGCCACCTTTGTTCAAGCAGTCTGGTGATCATATAAAATGTGCTGTTCCACCGTGTGCTTACATCTTGGACTAGGTTGTGCTCAGGTGTGGCCATTTGTTTCTGTTTTTCTTTAAGCTTTGTGGTGGCAAGCTCACTTCTCTTAAAGTGTTCAACCAGACATCTTGCCGCCCTAACAGCTTTATCGATAGCTTGATTCTTCAAAGCAGAGTTTATCACAAGTTGTAAGGTATGGCCAGTACAACTGACAGAGGACCACCCATGTTTCTCCTCCAGGATGTTTGCTGCAGCCACAACATTGGCACCATTATCATGCACTAGAGCAATGATTTTGTTGAGAGGAATGTCAAATCGGGTTACTGCCTCCTCTAACCACTCTGCAATGTTGGATGCAGTGTGTCTGTCCTGCAGTGGTTTGGTGGTGAGGCAGATTGACTGCATTTCCCAGTCTTCTGTGATGTAGTGACATGTAATTCCAAGGTACGCTTCAGTGGCAATGCTGGTCCAGACATCAGCTGTAAGAGCAAGCTTGCTGCTTGTTGATTTAATTACAGTCATAATCTTTTGCAATGTGTCCACATATTTTCTCTCCATGAGTTTGGTGAAATGGGTCCTGGATGGGAGGGTATAACCAGGATTCAAGGTATGGACCATGGCGATAAAACCATCATCCTCCACCATTGAGAGAGGCCTCATGTCAGTCACCAGCATATTCAAGATGCTATTTGTGATGACAGCTGCATGTTGAGGTGTGCATGATTTGCTTGACAATAACAAGCTGCTCAGTGTTTGTTGTTTTGCCCTGGAGATCATAAAGAATAAAGTCAGCCTATTATGACACAACATGAACTTTTAGCACAGCAAGTGAGAAAGTGTTGATTCCACCCAGCCCCTTCCATGTGTACCATGCGGTTCGCCAGACAACACCTCTTTCTGCCTCATTTTTCAAAAAATGAAAAACCAGAAATGAAGCCTGCAGAATACTTTGGAAGGGGATGAGCAAGGGAGGATGAGGTGTATAGACAGAGACCCTAAGCTACACCTATCTGTGACCTAAAATGCTTGGTCCAAGTTAAACAGCTTAAGGGCAATTCTCATCTGTCTTGTTTGATCTCATCTGTAGACATTTATTATAATTGGGGATGTCAAACGACTAATTTTTAAATGTAATCAAACAGGTTGTGAATTAATCAAAATTAATCATTATTTCCAAAAATGACTGAAAAAATACCAAATAAACAAAAGTAAATGAATGCCATCCTCCTTGTGATGATGCCCTGGGCAACTGCCATAAAGTCACATCAAGAAATGCTGCTGATCATTCCAATGATCCCAAATAGACTCACATTGTCATGAACTCCTCCTCCTGACCTCCTCCGTGGGCCTGGAGGGTGCTGCACTCCATCTCCCAGCATCCCCGTCACCGACGCAACACGGTGACGTCATCCCGCTGAACCTATTTAAGAACCTCTCACAGCTGAGCCGGCACTCAGTCATCATCTAACGATAGACGCCAACCCATTCTAAGAACTAAAAACACTAAAACCATACGGGAAGAGAACTTCTCACGCTGCCACATAACAGTCACCATTCAACACCAGTCTCTACGCGCCTGGGTCTCATAGCCACAAATACATTAACCAGTATATAACTGCGCTCTCACACAACACGCCTGCAGCAACAGTTAGGACTCCTCCCTCCCTTTTAAAAGCGTTTTCGCTTCTGAGGATTGTGGTTGTAAAACCACATGCTAGTAGTCTGGCCCCAGTGTGATCAAATCAACCGGTTTCTGCGGGAATGTGACGGCGGAACCGGTTCGCAGCAGCGCGAGTCTACGGGAAGATTCCCCTCCACCCCGTTTTTTTAATAAGCGTCGCGCTTACGATTTTATAGACTTTTTTTTACGAGCTTAGGGCTTGTCTAGCCTGTGTAATAATCCGGGGCTTGGGTGAATCACTTTTGAAAAGTTTTTAACTTACCCGGGCATAGAGCTCTCTCCCTCCTCGCAGATGATTCCCACATGCTTCCGTTTCAGATGCTGCATCATTACCGTAGTACTGCCGTGCCATGCCAAGTCTGATTTACAAACGTTGCAGGTAACGCATGTCTTCGCCTGATTTAACAGAAAATGCTCCCAAACTTTAGAAGTTTTAACTTTTTTGGGTCTCGCTGCTTCTGCCATTTTCCTTTCCAAACACCTGCCGGCTCTCCCTGGCGCTGATCTGGCTTGCTCCGGTCCGGTCTGCAACGGCGGGCGGGCCGGGGGTGGTGGGGTGGGGCGCGCTTGGGAAGAGTTGTGCGACACAACGAATCGATGACGCCATTCGTTGCCAACGCTTTTAATAATCGATTTTAATCGAATTTATCGATTCGTTGTTGCAGCCCTACTGGCATCATGACTCTGCTTGCTGATTAGCTAGGGGCGGAATCAATGGTTGCTTTGGAGTTTTCTGTCTTCTGCTTCATTGCCTGCAGCCATTTCCTGGTTCAGTGTCTGACTTAAAACCATAAAACTGAGCAAAATGTCCAGCACCACCACCATTTTTGTGCCGAACTTTGTTTCTGTGGAGCATACAGATTAATTCACACAGTTTACTGATCACCTCGTTCTATTTTTGTCATGAGTAAAAATTACCCCCAGCCTGAACCGTTGATAAAAGACAGGATAGATCCATGTATCCATGTTGTTGCCAAATTCTGACGTACCATCCGAATGTCGCTGCAGAAATTCAGACTCATCAGACCAGGCAACATTTTTCCAGTCTTCTATTGTCCAACTTTGGTGACCCTGTGCGAAATGTAGCCTCTGTTCTTAGCTGACAGGAGTGGCACCAGGTGTGGTCTTCCATCTGCCTCAAGGTTGGACATGTTGTGCTTTCAGAGATGCTCTTCTGCATACCTTGGTTGTAACGAGTGGCTACTTCAGTTACTGAACCAGTTTGGCCATTCTGCTCTGACCTCTGGCATCTGTCATTTTTGCCCACAGAAATATCGCTCACTGGATGTTTTCCCTTTTTCAGACCATTCTCTGTAAACCCAAGAGATGGTTGTGCATGACAATCCCAGAAGATCAGCAGTTTCTGAAAAACTCAGACCAGTCCGTTTGGCACCAACAAACATGCCACGTTCAAAATCACACAAGATGTTTTTCCAGGAACATTACTCAGAGTGACGCGGACGATGCAACTTGGCACGGCCACTGCTCCAAAGGGCACTGTTCAGTATTTTCCCTCTACGTTCTCCCCTACTTTTAGTCCCTGCTACATTGAAGTACCTGGCAAGGCTGAGTCGAGCCGGCATCGTGATTCTGGCTGCTGA